AAAAAAAAAAAAAAAAAAAAAAGGCCTCCCTTTCCTGCTGAAGAATGTCACTTGATTTTCTGTAAATTGTAAACACACCCACACACTCACACAACTAAGAAATCCACCATTCAATCCCCAATTTTTTTTTTTTTTTTTTTTTTTGGTAACTTTACATTGTTTCCATCACGAGGTCAGAACATTTCATTGCTGCTGTGAGACTCTCCAGAGTTCTCATTAAAGAGTTCAAGACAGTGGCCGTTCCGTTAGCCTCGATCTCTGAGTGATTACAGAGAGCAGAGCCTTCTGGGAGACCCATGATGGACATAGAGTGTGAGTGAGAATTAATTCATCACTGCTATAAGCCATGAGATACTGAGAGTGCTTTGTTATTGCAGCATAACCTGTCCTATCGTAATAGAACCATAAAAAGTGCTGAGAAACAATTTGCTGGACATGGGACCCAGGAAAGTCATGGAAACCAAGGGGAAAAAACTAGTCCAAGATGCAGAAAGTGGCCAGTGATGTTGAATGCATCCAAGAGATCAAGTAAAATAAGGAATAAAATATATCCACCGAGTCTGGCAACTGAGAAGTCTTTGGTAACCTCGTTGAGAACAGAATCCGTGGAGTGGTGGAGGTGGCAGTGGTGAAATAGCGGACAAGGGCTGAAGGAGTGGAGAGGGGAGAGCATGAGGGACCAGTGCAAGAGTGCAGCAGAAAGACAAGAAAACAGGCCAGGTGTAGTGGCTCACGCCTGTAATCCCAACACTTTGGTAGGCTAAGGCAGGCAGATCGCTTGTGACCAGGAGTTCGAGACCAACCTAGCCAACATGGTGAAACCCCATCTCTACTAAAAACACAAAAATTAGCCGAGTGTGGCGGTGCATGGCTGTAATTGCAGATACTCAGGAGGCTGAGGCACAAGAATCGCTTGAACCCAGGAGGCAGGGGTTGCAGTGACCCAAAATCTTGCCACTGCACTACAACCTGAGCAACAGAGGGAGACTCCATCTCAAAAAAAAAAAAAAAGAAGAAGAAGAAAAGAAAAGAAAAAGAAAAAAGAAGAAAGACAAGAAAATAGACGTCTTTGAGTGGTAGCAAGAGCAACGCTGAAGTGATTTGCCTATTCTGGACATTTCCTATAAATGGAGTCATAAAAGATGTATCCTTTTGTGTCTGGCTTCTTTCACTTAGCGTAATGTTTTCAAGGTTCATCCATATTGGAGCATGGGTCAGTGTTTCATTCCTTTTCATGACTGAATAATATTCGCTTGTATGGACTTTTGTCCTTTTGTGTATCCATCCATCAGTGGATGGACATTTGACTTGTCTGCCTGTTCACTGCTATATCTACTATTCCCGGTGCTCTTGGGAATAAGTGAATGAATGAGTGAATGAATAGCATAAACAGAGCTGTCCAAGGTCACAGAGCTGGTAAAATGTGAAGCCAGGATTGGAAGCCAGGCCATTAGTCCCCTAGAGCCTATGTTCTAAGCATCAGGCTTTACCTACGAATCCCCTCTTTTTACAGAAGAAGATGGCCGTATCACTCAGATTCCCGGCGGGAAAGCAATGGCATACTCAGGTGGGGTAACTAATGATGGAACCATCTACAAAGGTGTGGACAGAGTTAAGAAAAAGCAATAGGGGATAGTGAACTGCCTGGGGCTGGCAAGAGTGGGGAGCCCTTACCACTCTCAGGACTAAAGGAGGGAGTGGTGCCCAGAAGCCCCGCCTATATGCAACTGAGAAGGGCAGGGCCAGGGAGTCACGTCCATCCTCACTGCTCTCCAGTCTCCTGAACTGGAAGCCAGAGGGTGAGGGGAACCCTGATGCAGTTTGTATGGGTGGGAAAGTACAATTAGTTTAGACTGAAAAACTAAAAATCTACCCGGCCACTTAGCAGGCTGGAATAACAGAAATAGATCAAGCCAGCTGTAAAGACAACAGGGAACAGTATTTCTCTGTAGCTGTCAAGTGATAATACAACCCAGCATCTTTGAGTGACTGCTGAAACATTGTCCTTTAAAATCAGAGACCTTCAGAAACTTTGCTGTTTGAAATTACATGACCAAGACTGAAATATTCCAATTTTGCCTGGAGGATCTAAGTCATCTTGACACAGGGAAGCAGCCTCAATTTACAACTCAGGAGCAGAGCTTCAGATAAAGAGTTTCTGGACACATTTGACATTTATCTTAGCTATGTTGCTTCCTAGGAAGCAGGGCCCTGGGTCCTCTTTGCAATCCAGACTTGACGTTGACTGCTTTGTACAAACCTGTTGTGCTCGTAGTCTATCAAAACGGCTTCATTTAGATTTTATCTAAACTCCACTTTCCTCGGAATCCTATAATAAATCGCTGTCTCCCTTTGTTTGCTGATGTGCTGTAGCTCTTCTGGTGGGTGGTGTCCCTCACGGAATAGGTCAATAAACCTAACTTTGTTGGACTGCCACTGTGTCCCTGGTGATCTTCAGCTGATTCAGGTCTAGGTCATGGGTTGACCTTCCGGGGTGCAGAGCAGGGTGGAGAGTAACTCAGAGGGTCAAGCACAAAAGATCTGGCAGAAAAATAACGCCCCTCCACCCCCACCACGCCTACCCCTGCAAATCTGATGTCCCCCACCAACTGCAGACCAGAGTATTATAAGGGGCGGCGGAAGAAGAGAGGGAGATCTTCATTTACTCAGAGCTCCTATACATCAGGGGCTGAATAAAGGGTTGTAGAAATGAATGAATCAATCTCTGAGTGGGGCTTCAGGCAATGGAAAGATCTCAGCCCTTTTCTGAGGCACAATGGAAGCTCTGGGTCTTGTGACATTTGCACGGCTCCCCCTTTCTTCCAACAGAAATGAAACCAAAAAAGTGAAAGGAAAGGGGGGAAAGAGAGAATTCTAAAAATGCCCGTCCTCTGAACACCATCTTTGTGTAGGCATCTGGGGGAGGCCAGCTGGGGCGAGGTCATCTGCCAGCCAGGCCCGTAGGACTTGGCTCTTCTTGTTTATCGCAGCCGCATCTGGGGCAACTGCCAGGGCCCGCCCCAACTCTGCAGTCATTGGAGGAGCTTGAAGTTGAAGGCTCCTGCTAAAAATCAGTACGTTTCATTTTGCAGTTACTGGGAGGGGGCTTGCTGTGGCCCCATCAGGAAGAGTAGCGCTCTGGTCCAGCTCCGCGCAGGGACGGAGCCTGTCACCATGCCGGCCTGCTGCAGCTGCAGTGATGTTTTCCAGTATGAGACGACCAAAGTCACTCGGATCCAGAGCATGAATTATGGCACCATTAAGTGGTTCTTCCACGTGATCGTCTTTTCCTACGTTAGGTAAGTGGGATGTGAGGAGGATCCAGATCTCTGCAGTGGCCGACAGCACAGAAAGCCCCAGGGGGCAGCTTCAGGTGCACAGTCTGAATCTCATATGGTTTTCGAATCTGAGACGTGCTCTCAGCAAGCTGGGCGGGAGGGAGGAAGCAGCAGCAGCAGGCAAGAGGAAACGGTGCCAGGCTGCAGCAGAAGGAAGCCACGGGACTGGCAGGATTCCTGTCTGCTCTACTCCAGGCCTGCCAGGGCGAGCAGGGCAGGGCACGCCTGGGGAAGGTGGGAAAGTGCAGGGCAACACCCTGGATCCCCAGGGAGGAGGCGAGGATCTCAGGGCACACCTGGTGATCATGCTGGCATCTGAGTCACCGTGCTTGGGAGGAATAGCACCAGGCTTGAAAATGTATTATAACTTTAGGTCTTCACCAATGTCAGGAAGGCCCTGATTTTTGGTTTTTGTTTTTTCTAAAAGAAACTTACTGAGATATAATTTATACACCATACAATTTACCCATTTAAAGCGTACCATTTGATGATTTTCAGATTATTCACAGAGTTGTGCAACCATCCCCACAATCAATTTTCATCGACTCAAAAGGAATCCCACACTCCTTGGCCATAATTTCCAACACTGTTCCTCCTTCTTCCCACCCATCAGTTTACTTTCTGCCTGTATGGATTTGCCGATTCTGGACATTTCATGTAAAGGGAATCGCACAGCCTTTGTGCCTAGCTGTTTGCACTTCGCATGTTTTCAATGCTCATCTATGTTGTAGCCTGTGTTGATACTTCATTCAATTTTTTTTTAAGAGACGGGGTCTCACTATGTGGTCTAGGCTGGCCTCAAACTCCTGGACTCAAGTGATCTGCCTGCCTCAGCCTCCCAAAGTGTCAGGATTACAGGCGTGAGCCATTGCACCTGGCTGATACTTCATTCCTTTTTATGGCTGAGTAATATTCCATTGCATGGATAGACCACTTTTATCTATCCATTCATCCACTGATGAACATTGGGGTTGTGTCCTTTTTTGGCTATTATGAATAATGCCACGCAAACATTTGTGTACGAGGTTTTACACATATATTCTCCTTTCTCTTGATTATGTACCTAAGAATAAAATTGCTGGGTCATATGTTAACTATGCTTCACCTTTGGGGGAAATGTGGAGCTGAATTTCACAGCAGCTGCAGTTTTTTACATCCCCATCAGCAGAGTATGAGAGGTCCAGTTTCTCCACATCCTCACCAATGCTTGTTATCATCTGTCTTTTCGGGTTTTGTTGCTGTTGTTTTGTTTTTGTTTTTGAGATGAAGTCTTGCTCTGTTGCCCAGGCTGGAGTGCAGTGGCGCAATCTCAGCTCACTGCAACCTCCACCTCCCCGGTTCAAGTGATTCTCCTGCCTCACCCTCCCAAGTAGCTGGGATTACAGGTGTGCGTCACCACTCCTGGCTAATTTTTGTATTTTTAGTAGAGACGTGGTTTCGCCATGTTGGCCAGGCTGGTCTTGAACTCCTGACCTCAAGTGATCCGCCCACCTTGGCCTCCCAAAGTGCTAGGATTACAGGCGTGAGCCACCACGCCTGGCCAGTTGTCTGTCTTTTTTATTATAGCCATGCTAGTGGGTGTGAAGTGGTAGTTCACTGTGGTTGTGATTTGAATTTCCCTGATGGTGAGTGCCTCTTATTTCCTGTGCTGATTGATAATGATGATGGAGGCAACTTTTATCTATAGACAGTGGCAGTGTAGTTTACTAAGAGTTAGGGTAACTTTTTTCATAGTACTGGCTATGTCTTCTGGGCCAAG